TAGCGAAAAAGTGCGGCACTGGCTTCCAAAAAGCAGCTTAGTGTCCCGAGCAGAGTAATCAGCCGGATGTCATAGTATATATTTTTTATCGAGAAACATAGAACCATTTAAAGCTTGATAGGGCCCTGCTGGTGCGCCACAAGGATGCAAACCTGCGCTTGGCCAAGAAGTGCGGCACTAGTTTCTAAAAAGCAGTTCAGTTTTCTGAGAAAAGCAAGCAGCTGGATGTCACGATTTGTTGTTTATCGAGAAAATAGATATTCAAGGCTCGACCCACAAGGATGCAAACCTGCGCTTGACCAAGAGAGAGGTATATCCTTTGCACACAGGCTAACAGCAAAATCTGCGACATGCACTTTCCCCATTGCTAACCGTTTTGCAAGTCGTTCGCTTCGAAGCGGGGGACACGCCCCAGAGCCTGCAAGGCACAAGGAAGCAAGCGGGAGACACGAATCCGGAGCCAACGTCACAGCATCTGGCATTCAACCGCAGAGACCGCGACCGCAAAGACTGACGAGACTGGGAAAACAAGCGGGAGACACGACCCCGGAACCGGCATCACAGCATCTAGCATCTAACCACAGTCAGACACAACGAGACAAGCGGGACACACACAGGGATACAAGCCCCGGAGCATCATATCATGGGAAACACAACATCTGACATCTAACATAGGGGGACAATGGCGGGAGACACGACCCCGGAGCCGGCATCATAGCATCTCGCATCCGACCGCAGAAGGAGACAAGCGGGAGATGGGAGTAGGGAGACAAATGGGAAACACGACCCCGAACCAGTGTGACATCCAGACAGAGGGACAATCGGCAGACACAACCCCAGAGCCAACATTACAGCATCTGGCATCCGACCGCAGAGACTCGGAGACAATGCGACAATGCAAGCAGCTGGCAGTCAGACACAGAAAGACAAGCGCATCACAGCATCTGGCATCCGACCGCAGAGATTGAGAGACTCAGGGAGACGCGACTGGAAAAAAAAAACACAACCCCGGAGCCGGCGTCCCAGCATCTGGCATCTGCATAGGGAGACAAGCGGGAGATGACCCCGGAGCCGGCGTCACAGCTTCTGACCTCTGACCGCAGAAGCTGAGGGACCCGGCATAGATCGCAGAGACTGCGAGACACAGGGAGACGTCACAGCAGACACAGGGAGACGAGATTGGGAGACACAGGGAGACAAGTGGGACGAGCCGGCGTCACAACATCTGGCATCGGACCGCAGAGACTACAAAACACAGACAGACAAACGAAAGACGACCCCGGAGCCGTCGTCACGGCATCTGGCCAGAAACTGAGAGAGACAAGCAAGAGACACGACCCCGGAGCCAGCGTCACAGCATCGCAGAGACTGCGAGACACAGGGAGACAAGCGCGGGAGACACAACCCGGAGCCAGCGTCACAGCATCTAGCAAACAAGCGGGAAACACGACCCTGGAGTCAGCGTTACAACAACCGGAAAGATTGGGAAACAGGAAGACGAGCGAAAAACAGGACCCCGAAACCGGCGTCATACTTTCCCATTCTCTATATCTCAAGTTAGAACCCCAATATTTCGCTGTTTGGGGAATAAAATCACTATATCTTCCGGATCATAGCCGGAGTAACCCAGACAAATATAAATAAGCGGACCATAAGAAATATAAAACGGTTACATCTTCCAAAAGCAACCCAAATCAATTTTCGAAATATCAAAGATTTTTCGGAAAAACGACGATCCGGGAAAATGCGTGCAAGTACGACAAACAAATTTTCACGGTTTTATAGAATAAATATATTATACATACAAAAAATATATAAAATATTAATAAAAAATAATATAAAAAAAGAAACATGATCTAAATATATATATATATATATTCTTAACAATTATTTAAATGCATATTGTTTTTTAAATATAACACTATTTATTCTTATAAAATTCAATATTCCTTATTAAAAAAAAGAGAGAAAATATATTAATTTTAAAATATAAATTTTCAATATAATCTATAATATATATTTATATCATAATTTATATTATTTTTAGAATTATGTGTATAATTAAAATTTATATATATCAAATTTTATATAAATATATATTAATTATATATATATATAATTTATATATGGTATTTATTTATTTGTTAATATATATATATATATATCTAATTATTAGTCCCATTTTGTTTATGAATCTTTTTGTATATCGAAAACCCATTCATATATAACTATCATTTAGTATAATAAATTATTCTTTATTTCTTTCGATTCTGTCTCCAGACCCTTTCCTTTATTCTCATCCCTTCCCCATCCATACAATCAATAAAATTCATGAATGAGATGCAGGAATGGGAAACGCATAGGCATGTTTTTTCTCATACACATTCATTCCCATTTCATTCCCCAACCTCTTTCTTGGGTCCACCTCGTCCACCTTACAATCCAAATCCCTTCATTCCTATCTCATCCACGCAACGAATAGAATGAGATGTAGGAATGGAGAGCGCAGATAAACGGGCACTCCCTTCTTCCGCGAGGATCAGAGAAAAGGCACGAAGGAGAGCGACAGAGAGAGAGAGAGAGAGAGAGAGAGAGAGAGAGAGAGAGAGAGAGAGAGAGAGAGAGAGAGAGAGAGAAGAGAGAGAGAGAGAGAGAGAGAGAGAGAGAGAGAGAGAGAGTGAGTGATGGGTGCGATGGAGGCGCGAGAAAGGAACGCCTCCACCCATCACCCTCTCGCCCGTTCTCTGAGTCTTTATTGTTGGGCGAGAGACAGAGGTGAACAGATGGCTGACTTCTTTACAAGGTCTCACGCGCCGGCCATTCCTTTCCTCACGCGTTCCTTACTTGACGAGTGATAGTGGAGAGTCGTAATCATGGGTGAGGGTGAACAGGAAATAGGACGGGGGAAAGGACAAGAAGAAAACTCCCCAACCCTCACCGCTCTCTCATTCATTTCTTACCTCACCCCCTTTCTGCCTATTAGTCTGCCTGAGAGAGAGTGGCGGCTGCATTCGTAAGATTCCTGCGTTTGCAGCAAAGAAAAGAAATTGGCGAGCTTTTTTCATGCCAGCCTCGTTCTTAGGAATTGTCTATTGGCAACAACATACCAGATCTAGAGAGGTGAAATGTGGTCCAAAGAAAATGCCAGTCACGCCTCTATCACATACCGAGTTTGAATGGGAATGGAGATGACCTCCACCCCCGCTCACTTCATTCTCCCGTGCCTAGAAATGAGAAAGAGGAACGTGGAAGACAGAAAAGCAAAAGCACGGTGGTCACCATTGGTCACCATGCCAGCCAAGAAGGAACGCGGCTGAGGCGAGGCTTATCCCAGCGGCTTAGACGAGACCCATTCCCTTCCACCCTCCATCAACCAGTCCCTTCTAGTGTTAGCTAACTTTGGGGACGGGAAGAGGATGGAAGAGGAATGACTGGGATTGTATGTCCCGTTGGCAGCTGCTCAAATCGGGGAAATGGCCACCATCCTATCCAGCTTTTCCAGTCCAGCATTTATGCATTCATAGATGGAACTGGTAAGGTGGGCCCCATATGCAGCCAACAAACCTAAGGATCTCATGGCGGCATGTCCCTTATCATTTCTTCAGCCGCTGTGGCCAAACGAGTGAACGAGCGGAGGCCCCTCTCCACTTTCCCCCGCGGCCTTCATAAGTCGCGGACCCACAATCAGTCAATTGTAGACAAGAGAAGCAGGTTGGTGATAGACAGTGTAGTGACATAAGGAATAAAAAGATACGGAATGACGAAGGAATTCCCCTCAGCCTTCACCAATGTAATGGTTGCATCTGGGGCTGAGTTAAATATCTTGCGGTACCTTCCGGCTTAGAGACCAGACGCGCTGCACTCATACTTCCGACCGAAGAGAGAAATAGCCTGGAAGGAAGAGTTGCCATGATAAAGTGATAGAATAGATACCAATAGGATGAAGATGAGCGAGGGAAGGAAACGAGGAAAGGGAAACCGATGTTGAAAGATATTCATGTTGGAGAAGATTGTGAATGAAAGATAAAGTGAGCGAGAGAAAAGAGTGTCCATGACAGAAAGAATGATCTCTTGGATTCGTCCTTGGCAGTCAATAATCAATGGTCAAGAAGTCGTGGTTATAGACGGCTATCTGCACCATTATCGACATGATGATCAAGGGAGAAACGCTAAAGTACAAAGATGAACATACCACCATAGCTTTCCTTTTCCTTTCACAAATGGGTGTGGGTCAAAAAAGGGTGCCCAAAATGGATCCCTGGTGAATGGAAGCATGGACCAAAACCTGCGTCCCCTGGTGCCCACACCTCTCTTCACTTACCTAACTTTTATTTTCTCACCGCATAAGGCCTGGATACCCAGAAAGCGGCAAACGGAATATATCCGCCTACCTCGAATATTGGCATTATCCAAGAACAAGCTAGCTCCATTGATTTTTGGCTTGACGGAACTAAGAGTCAATCCACTTCACAATATGATTCCATTCCCAAGGGGAAGCGTCTGTATATGTTACAAACACGAAGCTGTTTGGCATAATCCTATTTTGGGCGAAGGTTCTCTTGGGATCTGTCTGAGACTTGCCGCGGGCCCAGCCCAGCGTCTGAGACTTGCCTCAGGCCCAGCCCAACCAGCAACCGCCCAAGAAAGGCTCGTCCCAGCCCAGGCCAACCAACCCAAGCAAGGCTCAACCCAGCCCGCCCTGTCTGCTGGCTCCATGACTCACTCCTGGTCCTGTGCATCGCCTTGCCCTTGCCTCGGGGATTCCTGCGCGCCCACGACATCAAAACGCCAGAGCCTGTCCATGCCTGACTCGCCACTTGACCAGCTCTGCTGCTTGCAGTCGAACCACGGACGCTGCGCGCTCGGCTGGGCCGAGGCGGGCAACGCGCAGCGTTTACAATTACTTTAGTACCATAGCGGAACTGCAAGATGGTGGATGAGGTTCACAAGAATGTCTGCGTTAGCCAGTGCAAACAATGGCTGGGTCAGCACGCATTTTTGGATCCTGCCGGCACGCATTTTGAGATCCTGCTGGAGCTTGCTCGGTCGTGTTGTCGCTTGTGCTGGTCGATCACGGTTCATGTGTCGGCAGCGTGGGGACGTTGGTCCTGAACTTGTGTGATGTCCCCAGCTGTCCCGCGAAACTTTGCCAAGGCCCATTCACGTCGACGTACCACGATCCGCGATGCACGTCTTCGGTACGAAGGCTTGGCACAAGCTGGACGAAGTCACCATCCTTCTTGCTCGGTAGTTGCTTCTACCCTGTGATCATCAAAGGCCTTCACCACCTGGCAGGACAAGGGACAAAAGGGCCCACCCCCAATGCATAGCTATCTAAAGAAAACTGCTGCTTTTGAAGCATGCCTGCATATGACCTGCTCCTTCCGCATCTTCAAATGCAGTCGTTCCCCGGTAGTCAGCCGCGTCTTCTTCATGGAAGTCGGGATGACCTGGGTCAGTGCAGCCCACGGCAGCGCTGTCAAGAAGTTCTTGAAAAAACTCGTGTTTCGAGGATGGTATCAGGACCGAGGCGGAAGAGAGCAGGTCAAATAGGCAAAAGAAAGAAGGAAAGAAAAAAGAAAGAAAGAAAGAAAGAAAGAAAGAAATACGGAAAGAAATACGGAAAGAAAGAAAGAAAGAAAGAAAGAAAGAAAGAAAGAAAGAAAGAAAGAAAGAAATACGGAAAGAAAGAAAGAAAGAAAGAAAGAAAGAAAGAAAGAAAGAAAGAAAGAAAGAAGGACAGAAAGAAAGAAAGAAAGAAAGAAAGAAAGAAAGAAAGAAAGAAAGAAAGAAAGAAAGAAAGAAAGAAAGAAAGAAAGAAAGAAGGACAGAGCGAGAGAGAAAGAAAAAAAGAAAGAAAGAAAGAAAGAAAGAAAGAAAGAAAGAAAGAAGGACAGAGCGAGAGAGAGAGAGAGAGAGTGAGTGAGTGAGTGAGTGAGTGGGTGAGTGAGTGAGTGAGTGAGTGCGTGAGGCAGGGAGGGAGGGAGGGAGGGAGGGATTGAGCGAGCGAGCGAGCATGTGTTTTGGTTGGGCACCTCAGTGCTAACAAGGAACCCCCAGTACAACCTGCAGATCGATCTCGGAACAATTCAAGACTGTAGGCAGTGGGGCCAGAAGGATCCCCATCTCAAATCCTACCTTCATGACCTGCAGGACACCAATCTGAATTGCAGTGCCCCAGTTGCTCAGAATGGCTTTGCACGCATTCTCCATACCACCACTGGCTGCCCAGTGAAGAGCCGTTTTGCCCAAATTGTCCTACCCGGCAATATGAATGACATGAAAAGCCATCAGACTGGCACAAAGCTACTTCTCCCGCGTCCGCAAACTGAAGATGACCCCATTGCTCCTGCACGTTGATGGACTGGAACTCCGGATTTGCGAGGATCTCGAGGGCTTTGGCTTCATCTCCCTCTTCAAGAGCGCGATGCAAGGCTGTTTGCCCGCTGTCGTCCAGCGCATTGAGCCCATCATCTGGTGGACCACTCAGATCAAATTGAAGCCTCAGCGGCCTGCCATGGGCTGGAGAGCTGGAAAAAAAGGGGCCCAACCGGTCAAATGAGTCAAATGTATTCCGCTTAACCGTTTGGGTCGAGCCGTCGGGCCGCCTGCTGTTCAGCAAGGGGAGGAGGTCCGCACTGGTCAAGTGTGCGGTGGGCGTGTCTCCCACCGCCAGGATCGCGGCGCCGTCCTGCATGCCGTGCTTCTCCCAAAAGGCGCGCCGGTCCTTCTTCACTTTTCGGACCCGTGGCGGTGCCGTGTCATCCGCATAGAAGGTCAGCCCCACTGGGCCGGGATCAGCCAGGATCACCTCCAAATTGGCGCCAGGCACTAGCTTCCCCTCAGCCAAGTGCCTGACACGACCCAAGGCTGGCTCCACAGGGATGCTTTGATCTCCCATGCTCTCCCCCACGCTCTCCCCCATTCATCCTACACTGTCCTATACTTAAGAAAACGGCCGCTTTGGTTGCGGACCCAGCTCAGAAACTCAACTGGCCTGGCGGCTTCCTCCATGGCCTGTCGCTCAGCATCACGGGCGGCAGCTTCTGCCAGCTCCTCCTGCTTCAGCAGCGCCTGCTGCTCCAACTTCCAATGCTCCGCCGTCTCCTAAGCTGCCGTTTCCCGAAGGCCAGGATCGGCCCCACAGCCGGACTCTGTCCCAATTCTCCGCTTTTGGGAGAAAGACCGCACTCAAAGTCCCATGAAAGCCCCCCCCCCCCCCCAACTTTTCCCTGGGCCACCTCACTTCTACCCAAAACCTGAAAGCGTCAAACATCACCCAAATCTGTCAAAATGGGCATCCCCCGCCTCAAAGAACTCCATCCGCTGCTGCTCTTCCACGTACAGCACCCGCTGCCTCTCCTCGATCTCTTGGAGCTGCTGTAGCCACTCCTCCCGCTCTTGGACTAAGCTGAAGGCCTCCTCACTGCAAAGGGCCGCATTGCTACGACTTACGACTTACCTGCCCCAGATTTACCGCATGCCTTGTAGCAATCACTCCCAAAATAATTCTGGTAGTTGCCCCCGATCATCCACTGTCTTAGGACCCAAGCGCACAACCCAATGTTGCAATCTAGGCCAGGACTTTCCAAGGGTTCCAAGGGTTCAACCAACGCGACCTGTTGGTGACATTGCGGGGTCATTTGGCAGCCCTTGGCCAAGCATGAACGTACTGCCGTGGGGCTTCCTAAGTTTAGTCAATCTCTGTACTTGGGACATTGAGTAGAAACCTCATGGCTCCAGGCTGTCTGCAATATGATGCGTGGACAAATTGCAGTTTCGAGGGCGAGAGTATGAAGAGCGGATGATGTTAGGCAATCATGTGAACCATCTGCCGACACATAGTCGAACTCGGAGCACAGAGTGCACTGCAAATGCGTCACCCGGGCCTGCTTCAATTCTTGCCGCCCTGAGGCCGTCATCACTGGCTTGACCCTGAGACCATCAAGCAGGCCCAGTAGGACTTGCAACTGGTCGCCCAACCGCTGGACGACACGCTGCTGCTGCTCAGCCCGAAGGCTCTGATGCTGCTCTTGCAACGCCATTTGCTTTTCCAGCTCTTCCTTGTCGGATTGCAGCTTCCTCCGCAGTGCCTTCGAATCTGCCAATTCCTCGGCTGGTCGGCGTGCAGCCATCCTGGAGAGTGAAACATCCGTCCGAGACACCTCCCCATCGGGACCGCGCTCACGAGGCTTGTCCAAGTGCTCCTGCGGGCGGAACACGGGAACAGGGAAGGATCACAACCTTAACCTCTGTTCAGAAGGGAGCTGTGCGTACAATGCTGCTCAACATCACGCATGCTATTGCTTGAGGCTTGGAGTCTTTCCCGAATGGCAAAGCTTGGTGCTTTGGACACCTCGAGGGAGACCTAGTTGGAGCTCCACCAATTGACTCGGTCCTGGATCTCTCGCAGGGCCTCCAGCTGCAACTGGGCAAGTTGCTCCTCTTGGTCCCGGACGTTCTGCTCCTCACGGCATGTTGGCAGAGTCGCAAACCGGTATACATTGTCAGTCGGGTGAAAGATGAATGAAACTCGATGGACCAGAATTCCCTCATTTTGATTTCGCCATCCCTTTACTCACATAAAAGAGAGCGTCCCGGTGTTCGCCATTGACACTCATGGCCACAAAAATGGAGCGCCTTGCATGGCCTTCCCTCCTCTCCCTGCAAATGAGCAATGACGTGCCCGCAGGCAAGGGCACGAACTTGCTATTTCTCAGAACTCAAAGGCATGTAGCTAGCTCCTGCTGAGTCATGAAGGCGCTTTGCTGCAAGAGCTCCTCCCGGATTTTTGCCAGCTCCTTTTCCAGCTCCTGGCATTCTTGGAAGTGCCAAAGCGAGAATGCGAGAATTGCTCATAGGCTCGCGAGGCGATGACGTCTGCCCTGGTTCGCCGCCTGCACCTTCTCAAGACGGAAGTGCGAACAGTGGATGGTGTGTTGAACTCCCATCAAGGGACTCATGGGGGGTAATCCCTTCTCCCTAATGCTAAACAGTCCCCTAATAATTAGGGTGGGGGCTGTTTAGCATCAGGGGGAAGGGATTTGGGCCCCTCGCAGTCCTGCACCTTCTTCTCCACCAAGCGCTGCTGCAGGGCATCCTCTTTTCCGCCAGCTTCCACCTCGTAGATGCGCAGCAGCTGGGCTTGGAGCTCCTGACGCACATGCGGCGTGAGGGACGAGGCGCCTGAGCAGCTTGGAATGGTCCAGCGCAAACCGAACAAAAAAAAACACGGTGTGCGAGCTTTCTGCTTTTCACCGGGGACTGTAAGACCCATCAGCATGTGTCGTGGCTCACCCAGCACAACTGCAAGGTTAGCTTGCGAAATATATGAAGACTCGTGATTCTGGGTGATGTCCCGCACATGTGGTAATGTTAACTTCGGATTAATCCCGAGGACCCCTCTAGCCAATTTCCATACTAAGAGGAGAACCCCCCCGATTAGGTCCTCCTGGTCAATCCGAAGCTAACACAATGACAATGATTCCACCCTGAGTATTCGCTACAAGACACCTGCCAAAAGACATGCCGTGACATTGTGATTTCTCACGCAAGCACCTCGCATCCAACCTCACAAGCAAGTCGCTAGGACCGCGCATCGCCAGTGCGATTCGCACGCTGAGCACGATAAGCCTACAGCATGTTGAGTTTTCTACTTATGCTTGAAGCCCGTATTGCAAGTGAAAACAGCACGCCGCAATTCCCGCGGAGCGGCATGAGTGCCATGTACCCGATGTACCCCACGCTTGCCCCTAGCTCTGCACCAAACTCCTTCACGCGCTGCGTCTGAAGCTCCAAGTCCCGATTCATTCGCTCCAGTTTGGACCGGAAATGCTGGTCTGACCTGGGTGTCAGCCCAAGAGCACACGGATTGCCCTCTCGCAATGTGCTTGCTGCTACTAAACACCAAAACAAGGTATGGCCAGCTAGCCATTGACCGGCTTGGTTCCCGGCGCCTCTTGCTGGTTCCGCATGTCTTGCAGTTGTAGCTGGCACTGTCGGAGTTGCTGCTCTTGCCGTTTCCGCAGGACCTGCCAGAAAGGATCCACAACGAGCATGGACAAGCACTGTCCGTTCTGTGCAAAAACGCACAACACAAAAAAATTACACCGGCATAGACCCCAGATAGCACACCACGGCCACGAACCATGACGCAGCATCAGAATGGTTCCCGCGGCATCATGATGATGTTGACAGCATCATGATGATGTTGACAGCATCATGATGATGTTGACAGCATCATGATGATGTTGACAGCATCATGATGATGTTGACAGGATTATGATGATACCACAGCAACTTAGCATGGTGCGCTAAATAGACGCGCAGCCAACGTCCTACTGAATGATGATGTTGACAGCATCATGCTACACCAGCCACGGACGATTCCGCGTTACATATTCGGCAGAAGAAAAAAAGCAGAGACGACGTCCTGACGAGTTCGACAGCATCATGATGACGCGGACAGTATCATGATGATGCGGACAGCATCATGATGATGCCGGCAGCATCATGGTGATGCGAACAGCATCATTGTGATGGTAGAGGCAGGCGAATGATGATACCACAGCCACAAATCATCTTGCAACAGCGTATTGAAATTCAGCATCATCCTGATCTTGATAGTATCATGGCGCCACCGCGCCCACGAACCATAACGCAGCATCGCAGTGATTCCAGCAGCATCATGACGTGGTTGACAACATCATGATGATACACCAGCCACGAACCACTACGCGCCACAGTTAGGGCAGCAACAACGTCCGAACCGATTGAGTTGACAGCATCATGATGTTGCGGGCAGCATAATGATGATTGCTACAACCGCGATACCCCAAACAGCGCCCGCCCTCAAAACAGCAGCCCCACCAGCACCCCAACGCAGCACCTGCGCCAGCACCTCACAACCGAACAGCCCCAAAACCGCGCCTTCTGTTAGAACCCCTATGGCTTTCAATTGTCTGGGAAAAAAGCGGTCAGCAGCACCTCAAACAGCAACCCAAAACAGCATCTGACACAGCCCCAAACTGCATGCCCCTAGCACCCGCCGGCAATCTCCAAAAATTGCGTCCACAACGTCACCAGCACCTCAAACAGCACCACCGCAAAAAAAAAAAAAACAGCACCTGCAACAGTGCCCAAACTGCATGCAGCCATCAATCTGGCAAAAATGCGCCTACACCTTCAACAGCACCTCAAACAACACCCCAGAGCAGCACCTGCACCAGCACCACCATGCCCCCTACTACACCAGCACCCCAAACTACATGCCCCCTATCACCTGGCCGTCAAGCTCGCAAAGCAGCATCCACCAGCACCCCAAACTGCAAGCCAGCACGGCCGTCAATCTCGCAAAGCGGCACCTCCAGCAGCCAAGCTGGACGCCCCCTAGCACCGGACGTCAAGCTCGCAAAACAGCATCCACCAGCACCCCAAACTGCACGCCCCCTAGCACCCGGCCGCCAATCTCGCAAAGTGGCAGCGCCCCAAACGACATGCCCCCTAGCACCCAACCCCAAACTACATGCCCCCCCAGCAACCGGCCGTCACCAAACTGCATGCCCCCTAGCGCGCGGCACCTCCACCAGCACCCCAAACTGCATGCCCCGTAGCACCCAGCCGTCAAGCTCGCAAAACAACACCTCACTAGCACCCCAAATTGCGTTCCGGCCATTGCTCTCGCAAAACAGCACCTCCCCCAACACCCCAAACTGCGCGCCCGCCTAGCACCCGACCGTCAATCTCGCAAAGCGGCACCTCCACCAGCAGCCCAAGCTAGATCACCAGCGCCCAAAACTACATGCCCCCCAGCACCCGGCCGTCACCAGCGCCCCTAGCACGCGGCACCTCCACTAGCGCCCCAAACTGCATGCCCCGTAGCACCCGGCCCTCAAGCTCGCAAAACAACACCTCACTAGCACCCCAAATTGCATGCCCCCTAGCACCCGGCCATCACTCTCGCAAAACAGCACCTCCCCCAACACCCCAAACTGCGTTCCCCCTAGCACCCGGCCGTCAATCTCGCAAACTCGCAAAACAGCATCCACCAGCACCCCAAACTGCATGCCGCCTAGCACCCGGACCTCAAGATCGCAAATCACTTCCCTTCTTTATGAGAAGTTAGAACCCCAATAGCTTTCAGCTATCTGGGGAAAAAAAAAAGCTTGCCGAAGGCCCAGCCTGCTCTTGTCTTTCCATCTGATCGATCCGCATCTGCTCCTGCACGCGCGAAGCGCACAGGCAGGGCAGGCCAGGCGGGCCCACACTTGCGGATTGGGTTTGGGCCCACGCATTGGGCCGCGGGGAGTGTCAAATAGTTGCTGTGGACGCAGCAGCCAGAAAAAGGAGTGTGTGGAAACGCGAATCGCCCATCTGGCTCATCTCACTCCTCCTTATCTGACAAGATCTTCTGTTGGAGATCTAGGTCTTTGAGCCTTTGACGCAGATCTTGCATCCTGCGGTTCTGAGCCTCCAGCATCTTCTCCTGGCCATGCTGCACCAGCGGTCTGTGGGCGAGTTTGGGCAGCCGGCGTTGCTTGGCCCTTGGAAACAAACACCCTTCTGTGCCTTGTCAACCGACTCCTGCATTGCATGGTTTTCCTCTTGCTTGATCAGCTCACTTTGGTGGTGCTGCTGCTGCATGCGCCTGCGGCAATCGGCCAAGTGATGGCAAGGTCGCCGGGTGCATCAATCATGGCCTCTCAGCTTGCGCCACGGCATCGCCGGTCTGCTGCTCCCGAAGCTCGTCCTCCAATAAGGCTTACCACTCATCCCCGACTGCTTGTCAGCTTGGTCGCCCCCAAACACTCTGACAAGTCAAGGAAAGCTTCGTAGTGTCCTGGCTTAGATGTTCCTGCAGCCGCTGCAACTCATGCTCCAGTTGGCCCTGGTCAGGTGCTGCAGTTGCAGTTTCCCCCCTTGCCAGACCATGGGCTTCTAGTCTGGCTTCTTTGTTTATCTCTCGTGGTCATATGCCGTCCCTGAAAATCTGGCAAACCAACGCAGTCATGCGTAATGACAACAACAATTAAGGAGTTCCTACCCTGCGCGGTCCCGGCCAATGTGCCTGTCTCAATATGGCCCGCTGATGCTTCTCTTGCATATCCATTTCAAGCTTCCGCTTGTCCGATTCCACCTCTTGTTCCTTGGCCACGTGACTTGCAACATTCAAACAATGCATAGGAAAGGGAGCCAGGGGATGTGTCCGTTCTGTGCAAAAAGGCACAACACAAGAAGAAAAAAAAAAGCTTGCCGAAGGCCCAGCCTGCTCTTGTCTTTCCATCTGATCGATCCGCATCTGCTCCTGCACGCGCGAAGCGCACAGGCAGGGCAGGCCAGGCGGGCCCACACTTGCGGATTGGGTTTGGGCCCACGCATTGGGCCGCGGGGAGTGTCAAATAGTTGCTGTGGACGCAGCAGCCAAAAAAAGGAGTGTGTGGAAACGCGAATCGCCCAACTGGCTCATCTCACTCCTCCTTATCTGACAAGATCTTCTGTTGGAGATCTAGGTCTTTGAGCCTTTGACGCAGATCTTGCATCCTGCGGTTCTGAGCCTCCAGCATCTTCTCCTGGCCATGCTGCACCAGCGGTCTGTGGGCGAGTTTGGGCAGCCGGCGTGACTGCTTGGCCCTTGGAAACACACACCCTTCTGTGCCTTGCCAACCGACTCCTGCATTGCATGGTTTTCCTCTTGCTTGATCCGCTCACTTTGGTGGTGCTGCTGCTGCATGCGCCTGCGGCAATCGGCCACGTGATGGCAAGGTCGCCGGGTGCATCAATCATGGCCTCTCAGCTTGCGCCACGGCATCGCCGGTCTGCTGCTCCCAAAGCTCGTCCTCCAATAAGGCTTACCACTCATCCCCGACTGCTTGTCAGCTTGGTCGCCCCCAAACACTCTGACAAGTCAAGGAAAGCTTCGTAGTGTCCTGGCTTAGATGTTCCTGCAGCCGCTGCAACTCATGCTCCAGTTGGCCCTGGTCAGGTGCTGCAGTTGCAGTTTCCCCCCTTGCCAGACCATGAACTTCTACTCTAGCTTCTTTGTTTATCTCTCGTGGTCATATGCCGTCCCTGAAAATCTGGCAAACTAACGCAGTCATGCGTAATGACAACAACAATTAAGGAGTTCCTACCCTGCGCGGTCCCGGCCAATGTGCCTGTCTCAATATGGCCCGCTGATGCTTCTCTTGCATATCCATTTCAAGCTTGCGCTTGTCCGATTCCACCTCTTGTTCCTTGGCCACGTGAGCAACATTCAAACAATGTATAGGAAAGGGAGCCAGGGGAAGGTCATGGCCTGTATTGGTCCATGGCCCCCAGGCTCCGAATTTCTGAATACATCCAAGCCAAAAAAATGCTCCAGAAAAAACTGAATCCATGCTTATTGTATGCTCAGCCCTCCCCATTCTCAGATGAGGGGCCATTGCTTTGGAATGCTCGTCTGACTATTCCATGCTCACCAGAATGCACCGACAAGCAAACACGAATCTGTAATCCAGGCTAGATAATTTCATGATTTGCCCCTCCGGAACCACGCCACGCCACGCCACGCCACGCCCCGCCACGCCACGCCCCGCCCCGCCCCGCCCCACCACGCCCCGCCCCGCCACGCCCCGCCACGCCCCGCCACGCCCCGCCACGCCCCGCTTTGCCCGCCACGCCCCCGCCACGCCGCCCCGCCCCGCCCCGCCACGCCACGCCACGCCCCGCCCCGCCCCGCCACGCCACGCCCCGCCCGCCGCGCCGCCGCGCCCGCGCAGCCCGCGCCCGCGCCCCCCCGCGCCCCCACACCCCGCGCCCCCCTCGCGCCCTACGCACGCACGCACGCACGTCACACACACACACACAGAGACCCACACGCACACGCACACGCACACACGCACACACGCACACACACGCACACACGCACACACGCACACACGCACACACGCACACACGCACACACGCACACACGCACACACGCACACACGCACACACGCACACACGCGCGCACGCGCACGCGCACGCGCCCACACACACACACACTTGAACTCCCGAGGGAGGGTACTCATCAAAGTACTGTATGGGTCTTCGAGTAATAGTTTCGGCTCACAGTCACTTGGCTTCCGTCTAGCAGCGAAAACGCTACAAATTCAACATGAAGCACCCACAGCGGCAAAAGAAGAGGGCCAAATAGACTTTCAGAATCACTCAAATGTTGCAGGTACGCGGAGTTGATCAGACTCCGTATCCCGCCAGATTGCATAGCTTTGTTTGGCACGGTCTGCAATCCGGCGCCGTGCCCCCCTGCGCTCAAATGTGGTTTGCAGGGTATTCTGCCACTGCGCACACACACACACACGCGCCTCAAAGAGTGGCGAGTACCACTTTTTCGGGAGGGAAAAACACGCGCCCCAAAACCGGGCGAAGACCCCAACAGAAAACAAACAGAGCAGGAAAACAAAAGAAACAGAAAGGCCCCACGTTGGGTCCCCGCGGGCAAAACCCAACCAAGAAACACGAAAAATAGGGGAACCCGAGTTTAAGGTCACCCCCGAGGGCAAAGAACCCCAAACAGCCCAGAAACCCTCCTAAACCTGGTAGAAAAAGAGCACCGCGAAGTTGAAGAACGACACCACGAACACGCCATCCCGAAACGGGCGAAGAGGAACAACAGGAAGTAGTTGGAGGAGAAAAAGAAGGAAAGAAAGAAAGAGAGAGCGAGAAAGAGAGAAAAAGAAGAGAAAAAGGGGGCGAGATGCGTATTTAGGGCGCCGCAGCCCGCCCTGGGAAAGGAGAAAGGAAAGAAAGGGAAAGACAAAGGGTGCGAGATGCGTATTTAGGGCGCCGCAGCCCGTCCGGGGAGAGGAGAAAGGAGAAAAAAGAAAAGCAAAGAAAAGAAGCAGAAGACAAGGAGACAAAAGGAGAAAAGAAGGAAGAGGGAGGAAGGAAGAGGAAGAGGGGTGTAGTATGCGGTTTTAGGGCGACGCATCCCGCCCAGACAGGCACAGAGGACAAGAAAGAGCAACGGAAGGGGAAGAAGACGTCAAGCCAAACTACGTGAGGAAGACGAGGAGTAGGAACAGGTAGACGGACAAGAAGACGAAGACAAGGGAGAAAGGTGAACGACGCGAGGACAACCAGGCCATCCCTAAGCGGGCGAAGAGGAGGAGGACGAACGCGCGGGTCACAAAAGGCAGCAAGAAGAGAACGGGAGGAAGGAGAAGCCATCCCTAGACGGGCGAAGAACCAGAAGACGGACACGCGGAAGACGACGGCGAGAAAAGGTGAGACGTAAGTATGAAGAGGTGGCTGTCTTCCCTTCAGTGAAACCTCGTTCCTGCTTAAACGTGAAATTCCGCTGGACTATGATAAGAACTGCAGGTCAAATTTTCCGGCGAAACGGCCCGGGTCACACGATGGGTACACCCGAGGTTCCCCCAAGATGGGGTGATCACACTTGAACTCCCGAGGGAGGGTACTCATCAAAGTACTGTATGGGTCTTCGAGTAATAGTTTCGGCTCACAGTCACTTGGCTTCCGTCTAGCAGCGAAAACCTTACAAATTCAACATGAAGCACCCACAGCGGCAAAAGAAGAGGGCTAAATAGACTTTCAGAATCACTCAAATGTTGCAGGTACGCGGAGTTGATCAGACTCCGTATCCCGCCAGATTGCATAGCTTTGTTAGGCACGGTCTGCAATCCGGCGCCGTGCCCCGCTGCGCTCAAATGTGGTGGCAGGGTATTCTGCCACTGCGCACACACACACGCACAGGCACACGCGCACACGCGCACGCACACGCACACGCACACGCACACGCACACGCCACACACAGACACAACACACACACACACACACAAACACACAGACACACAGACACACCCACCCACGCACGCACGCACGCACGCACGCACGCACGCACGCACGCACGCACGCACGCACGCACGCATGCGCCCGCACCCGCACCCGCACCCGCACCCGCACCCGCACCCGCACCCGCACCCGCACCCGCACCCACACCCACACCCACACCCACACACACACACACACACGCACACGCACACACGCACACACACACGCACGCACGCACGCACGCACGCACGGACGGACGCACGCACGCACGGACGCACGCACGCACGCACGCACGCACACACGCACACACCCACGCACACACGCACACACAGCACGCACACACGCAAACACGCACACACGCACACACGCACACACGCAAACACACACACGCACACGCGCACGCGCACACGCACACACACACACACACACACACTTAAACTCCAAATGGAGAGTGCTAATCTTTCGAGTACAACTGATGAGTCTCGAGTACAACTGATAAGTCTCGAGTATGATGAGGTTCGACTCGCATAACGCTTGGCTTCCCTGTAGTTACTTTAACAGGGACACACAGAAGCAACGGCAGTTCAGGGGGGGACCAAAAGGACATTCAGAACAACACAACCATCTCGGCAGGTACGTCTGACTGATCAGGTCAGATATCAGCGCAGGTCACGACCCTCTTCGTTGGGTCACCGGTCGTGACTGCGGGTGACCCCCCTGCTGAGAAACCGAAAGGGTGGTGACAGGGCATTCTGTCACTCCGCACACACACGCCCCTCAATGAGGGGCGAGAAGTCTCCTTTTCCGCAGGAAGATCACATGCTCAACCCCGTGTCCCTATCGTTGACCAAAAAATCCACCGCGGCGAGGGGAACGAGAAACAGCCCTAAACCGCTCAGAAGACGGGAACGAGAGATCACCACGTTGAGCATTACGAGTGTCGCCATAGAGGACTGAAGCGAGTTGTGAAGCAGTCGAGCGATCACCATGAGAAAACGGAGTAGCATAGGTGAACGTCTCCTCAACTGGAATGGCATCGGAATTCCGAACTTCACCAAGAGATTGATCATGCGAATGATGAGTTGTGAAGGACTCCATTCGAGACAGAATGCGCTGGTATCCCTGATGCTGCCAGTCGCGGATGGTCCATGCCTGACCGTGCTCACCAGTGCGCCCATTGGGATCAGTCACCCGCTGCCATTCCCGAAAAGAATTGTCTGGTAGATCAGGTACAGTTTCTCCGTGGTGCCATCGCTGAGGCTGTCCTGCAGTGTAGATCCGCACCCACTCCTGATCCTGCCAGACCGAGTATTCGAGCCATGGGTGCTGCTTCGAATCCTCGATGTCCATGTCGAAGTAAGAGGCAAGGCGTATCGCGGGCTCCGATCCAGCTGATAGAGGAACAGGCACCATGCACAACCATGTACAAGCAACAACCAAGCAAGGTAATGCAAGTGTGGAAACCACCCTTATTTTGTATGCTACCCCACTCGCGTGCGTCTAGTCCTCATTTAGCTCGAAGATAGGTCTCGCCTTGGCTTTGCAGCTGTCGGGAGGATTAACAGGCCGGTATGGGTCGGAGACCCCAACAGTCTCCGATGGTGTGATTCCACGTGATGCACGTACAGGTTGATGAAGTTGGGAAGCGTGACGTGCGCGAGCTGTCAGTTGTTGAGAAATCCCCTCTTGGAGACGAGTCAGTTCTTCGGTAGAGAAATCCGCCGCATCCGAGGATCTAAGGATCGCTTCTAACATCTGCGGTGACATACTCAATGCCGCGGATTGCGTGGCCACGCTGTGATGATCAGGAAAAGACATAGAATCAAAGTCATGACCAGCTTGAGGGGCAGCGACTCTCCGATAGCCCTCTGTGGCCCAGTCTCTTTTGTACCACATGGTGACATTGAGCTGCTCACCGTCTTGGTCCGGGTTGGGAGCATAGAACTCCCTCCACTCTCTATACGTGTGCGGTGGAGGTGGAGCATCATGTTCTTCATGTGGAGTCCATGATCCCGGATGAAAGATCTTGACCCACTGGGCATCTGGTTGTTGAGGATCCGGACACCATTCCAGCCACGGCATGACAACGCAAACCCGGAAAGACAAATTGATAGGTACGGCTGCAGACAACAATTACTGAAAGAGACACAACTACCACAGTGCAAGAAATCACTTTTGCAGCAATGCACGGCTCCGGTATCGAAGTCAATCTCCCGAATCGAATTGAACTGAACAGACTCCCCAGGAAGGCGAGGACGAGCATCAGCCACCATCCGAGTTGGAGGATGCCGATGAAGAGGTCAATCCAGCGTACATGAGGTCCGGTGCGCCCGAAGCGAAAACTGGCCGCGCAATGCTAGGGTGTGGGCGACCCAGCCGTTGGTATCCCCTGGTGACCCAGTC